TGGAGACAAGGATAATAGTTTGTTTGAAAGAGAAAAGAACAGGCTTTGAAGTAAGCCTAAAAGCGTTTAACTAGAAATAGTATTTCGAAAGTTATTAACCACAAAAGATGAATTGCGTTTATTTTGATACACCCTGTAGATTAAGACGACAACCTATCCAAGATAATTGGCGTGCAATTCTTCACTTCTTTGATCTCGTGTCGAAAGCCCACAACTAAATTATTCTAGAGCAAAAAAAAACATTAAATCAGAACAAAATATATAGAAATGATGATGACGATACTTACCGTCGAAGCTGTATCATCGTTAAAGCATGAGAAAATCAAGCCAACAAAACCTGGATCCATTATTTGATACATAGCCTGTGTCTGGACGTCTGCATATTAAAATAAATTTGAAATTTGCCACAGACTGTAAAAAAACACTTTAAGACAGTCGCTCGATAGAAAAAAGTCTTTACATTCGATAATTAGATATTTTTGTCTCGATTATGCAGATTTATTTCAAATAAATTCAAACTTACAAATTCTTGATTTACGATCAATGTCTTTCGTACGGCCCATGAAACGTGCCAAAATGTTAGCTCATCGACGTTGTTTTCTCTCCCCCTTAAAACCGCAAATTGGCAAAGTAAATTACTGACTAGAATATTTCTTGTAATCATCTGGATAAAGCGTCCCATGCATAGTTCGATTTTCGTTGCAAAGGTAGGGCATATTTTGTAAAATTTGTTTACATTCTCTCCTCTAATGAAAACCGCACCGCTAGGTATAGCCAATCTGATATGCAGTTTTTATTTAATGGAAACTAGTATATTATGCATGCACGTATATATACTTACCAACATGAGACGGCCAAACAGTTATGTGTGGATGTGAATGATACCAGCCTAAAATTCTCATTGGACATTTCTTTGCTGTTAACATTCCTAACCTGTAGTTATCATTAAGGAAGTATCTGATCATTATATAATTATACAGCGGTATAGAAAAAGCTCATAACTAAAGTGTCCTGCTAAAACTTTTCCATGCATGCTTGTCTATCACTAGCTCTTTTCTTCATATTGCTATAGCTTGCAATGAACACATTTTTCTTCATCTGTCCCTTTTCCCAAGAAAATGACCTTTATGGCTGCTGTTAACAGGTCCTCATGCAGTCATGGTGACTTAGGTCATGGCAATATACATCTTTTGTTGTCCAATTATTCTTTGCAGTATAACAACCTTTTTCATTAATCATGCATCGTCAAAACGTCCTCACTTGTTATATGCTGTGTATAGCCGATTTTAAGCATTTTTTCCAGCACCACATTTCGAATGCCTGTATTCTCCTTAATATGTCCTCTTTTTGTCATAGTCCAGGTTTCATACGGAATACATTTCATAAACTTATTATTGTAAAAAAAGATGCGTCGCGACAGATCCATAGCAACAGACTGATGTCACCAGAAAAGTTTCGAATCTTTGATTTAATTAACATATATATATATATATATATATATATATATATATATATATATATATATATATATATATATATATATATATATATATATATATATATATATATATATATATATTCAATTATTTCCAGCCTACTGAAAAAAAATCCAGAACTTTCAAGGACCTTATCAGTTTCCAAGGACTTTCCAGGCCTGGATTTTTTTAACAAATTCAAGGACTTTCCAGGATTTTCAAGGACCGTCATGGGACCCTGTTTTAAACTTCTGTAGAATATACCTCACAATTTGTCGGCAAAATTAATACTATTTACATTACATAACCTAGCTCTGTTCCAGACGTTTTGTTGCACGTAGAAGTAAAAATTGTGTGATGTAATGGCCTTCAGTAACACAAAAAGGATATTTCTGCTTGTGTTGAAGCGTAAGATAATTGTTCTGGTGATATTTCAACTCGATCTTTCCTTTTGTCGGATCGACGTAGCATAAATACAGTGAACACATGAGAAACATTAAATTCATCAACCTACAGGTGAATCAATGAAATCTGACTACATGTATACATTATGTGAAGCAGTTTACCTTAGAGAAATGCTAACCATTGATAGTATTTGAACCCCAGCAAGTAACAAATTAAAGTGGTCATTGTTAAGTAACAGTAACAGAACTTTCAACAATGCGCGCGTCGCTTTTGATAATTTTACGCTATTTCAACCATAATTCAACACATTTACATGCAAGGCCGCACAAAAAGCCTGGAATGAGGTTGTAATTTGTAAAAGTCTCATTTATTTCTATTGTACCTCATCCTTTAACTCCTTTAATGAGAAAAATTATGTCTCCACCCTTCTCCCCCTTTAATGGCACATGCACTAAATCAGCTAGATTTGAGATTAGATTTTTTTCTGGTTGTATCCAAACTGGTTGTAATCCAAATTCTCAAAATATGAATGCATTATTTCTGACTTATAATTGTAACTCTTGTAGTAAACAATGACGTAACAGTGACATTCTAGAACATTACCTTATATGGCATGCAAGGAAGAATAATATATATATAGTAAGAAAGACACGAGTTGTAGAGACAGAGATGTAGCGAAGATTGTCATGGTTGAGAATCAATAAATACTAACTAAATATTATTACAAAGAATATTATTACATTGGCGACGAGCATATGGTCGATCAGGCTGAACAACAACCACAATTTCATGTGAATACACAGTCAGTGTCAATTCAACCTTTACCCGAATTTTCGCCAGACGCGGAAATTGGTTCAAGTTTGGCTGGCAAATGGAAACTTTGGATGTAAGATTTCGAAATGTTTATATTGGCTAGTGGCATAACCGATCCGAAGCGAAAACGTGCTTTACTCCTTTACCAAGCAGGACAACTGAAATATCAATTTTGTCCTCCTTCCTCCTCTCTAAGCTTTAAATTCAAACAAAGTTATTTTTTCTCAACCAGGTCTATGCTTTATAGCCTGGTTACTTTCGAAAACGACGTACAGCATGTAGTATTTTGTAAAACTGATTTAGTTATTTGCCATCTTAAATCTTGTTGAACAATGAAAGTAGTAATACATTATAATTTGTGTTGTTATCTAATCAATATACACTAGTTAATTTGGATGACTTTAAGACTCCCTAGATTGCCCCCGCCCTACAGCCGCCTACTTTACCAAAACAAACATATACTCAGAATAATTCTGAAAGCCCTGCAACTTGCCCTGTGGGGGAAACCAGAGCAGCCGGAAAAACCAGGGCTGCAAAATTACCACTGAAAAAGGAATTAATTCCAATTACAATTACTTGCTTTAAAATGTAATAAATTCCTGATTGCAATTACTTGTTCTAAAATGTAATTAAGTACAATGAAAAAATTACTGCGGAAAAAAGGAATTAATTACAAATTTCTTTACCGGCAAATTGTTACTATATATATTATAAGACAATATCTTAAACAGCAGTTGTAAATAAAAATGGTATAAACTATGAAATTTGCGATGATAGATGATATTTCAATATATTAAAACATTTGACATTTAAGATTATATTTCAATATATTAAAACATTTGACATGCAAATCGAAGCATGTAAACTTAAAACTTTATTTGCCAATATTTGGTGCTCTGAGCCTTGGAATAAATTGTGGTTTCCACTTTCGCAATAAATAATACTTCATGTAGGCTATCATGTCATATGATCTCGTTGAAAATTATTTCAGCCATTTTTCTGAATTTTTGTCGTAGCGTTGTATTTTTTATTTCATATTTTTAACAAAATAAGAAAAGGAATTTTCAATTTGCTCCTTGGAAAAGGAACACGTTCCTTGCTTTTGTAATTAATTACGTTTTTCGTTACTTTTCTAAAAACGTAATTAATTACAGGTTAAAATTACTTCAAGTGTAACGAGTACACAGTAACGCATTACAATTATAACAAGTATTTACAGCCCTGGGAAAAACCCACGACTTTCGGCAGAACGCCAACAGACTCTTTTCACATGAGTCCGTAGCGAGCCTATGATCTCAGAACGCCAACAGACTCTTTTCACATGAGTCCGTAGCGAGCCTATGATCTCAGAGCCTATGATCTCGCTCTGACGACTGCACCACCGAAGACTACAAGATCCCTTGGTCTGGAATAAATTTTCTATGAAAATATCTGACATTGGGTCGTTCCAGAAAAGATCCACACTCCCCCACAGAGGAAATTTCTGCCGTCCGGAGGGGGAGGGGAGAGAAAATTGTTTCCGATAATAGTAAATGTATTAGGACATCCAAAGGGGGTAGGGGGGTTAACTTCCAATTTCCTCCGTGGGGGTGGTATGGATGTTTTCTGGAATAACCCATTTCTGTACATTTTTCCCAAGGAAAAAATTTCCAGCACCAAATAAAACTTTTCAGTCTGGTAAATCTGGTTTTTGCCAAACTGCACAAAAACAATTAGTGGTTCCTATTTCCAAATACATATTCAATATTTGAGAAATTTCATGTAACTGATAGGCGAAACATCTTCCAACAAAACAAATATCGACCACATGATAGAATACTTCTTCTGAGAACAGATTTATGCAAGCATCAAAAAAATTTATCTAAAAGCTGCTGTGCACGTTCAATACAGTTATACAGAAATATCAAACATATTTGATAAACCAAATATCGTATATAAACTGATAATTTTATCAATTATCAACATACTGTTATACACCAATAGCCTAATGGTAGTAAACTTTGACTGGATTTCCTGGAACAACAGGGTACAGGCTGTGACAGTCTCACACACAGGCAGCCACTACTCTGTCTATTCACTCCAAGAAATCAAATCATTCATTCATTCATTCATTCATTCATTCATTCATTCATTCATTCATTCACAAATATAGATGATATTTGTGAATGAATTACGTGCTGAGGTAATGGAAAAGAAGGTAAAATTGGGGCGAGCGATGCTCCCCATAGATTTGTAAATTGGAAACAATATTTCAGATTATGTGTTAACCTACTTCACCAATCAGAAGTCCCATTACTTCTTCCCTGTCTGTGGATAAAGCATGAGCTAGGCAAACCATGAAAGCGTCAGCCTGAATTTTAACTTTCAAAACGGCCGCCATATTTGTTTAGATCAGAAAAGAATTTTAAAAAATTTAACAGTTTCCATATGAGGTTTACATGAAGTTTCAAACGAGAGAAAAGTAGGCGCCACTGACCTGATGTTTGCGCGAACAACCCAATGGAACAACCCATTGAACTATAAATCAACTGGAAGGCTAACTGCTATGATAAAGGCCTATGATTTGATGAAGCCAAAATAGTTTTTCTGAGTTATGAGCAGAAATACTTGACCCCAAACGTCGGACTATATATCAAATTGAAGCTATTGAAAATTGCTATTCGGTGTGGAAATTTCAAGACTTCAGCGAAAAGAAAAATATTTAAAAAATACAAAAACAACTGCAAAACGGCAAATTATCGGTAATTATGTTTGTAGTTTTTCAATATTTCCCTTTTAGCTAAAGTCTTGAAATTTCTACACCAAATAGCATTTTTCAATAGCTTCAATTTGATATATAGCCCAACGTTCAGTGTTGTGTATTTCTGCTCATAACTCAGAAAAACTAAAATGCACTGGCTTCAATTTCCCCCCCTGAGTTAGCCTTCCAGTTTATTTATAGTTCAATGGAACAACCTCGTCCCTCGTCTTCATCGTGGGGCGCGAACTCTCTAAATGAACCACTGGTATAAAAAGGTAGCCTGTAGCCTATCAAAATCTACTGCAAAATAGTGGGTTAATTAAAAAGTGGTTGAGAGTTTTATACAACTGGACCCTTACCGGACCCAGCTACCGAATACTCAGTGCGTGCGCAGCTAAAAGCCGGAGTATATATCCAGGGGCGTACCGAGCGGGGGGATGTGGGATGTGTGACAGTTTTTTCGTCGGTAAATTTTGAAAATCGTCGGTAAAGTTGATATTAGAGAGCTTTTAAAAAGCTTCGCGTTCAACGACAAATGACAAGCGTCAGGCAAAGAAAAATTTTACGCTATAAAGCAATACAAAGTAAATGGGCTTGTTGTCTTTATAACTAGAATGCTTAACTATTCTTGTGTCATAAATATGGTCATATGAAAGAAAATATGACACGCAGAAATCGAACGAAAATTATGCCGTTTCCGCAAACGTGAAGCTTAAAGGTGATCTACAGTCCGATCTGCGCATATGCACAAATGAGCCCACTTTTTATGATACAAACAGTTTAACTATGTTTTGAGTTCTTGAAAAGCCTGATTGTTGTTTCTTGATCATTTATTATACTCTAGAAGCTTGAAAATATAAATAGTTGTCGAATAAAGCTCAATATTTTGGACACAAAAATGTAAACAAAGGCTTTGTTTACATACGGACTGTAGATCACCTTTAAACGTCCTGTTCGTACTCGCGAAATTTTTAAGAGGTATGTTGTCCAACTACATGCTTCTAAAAACTATCCCCCCCCCCTTCCCCCATCGCCAGGATTTTAGGGAAAAACATTTTGTCGGTAAATTTAGGGAAATACCCCTCCCCCCCGAGCGTAATGGCCTCGGTACGCCACTGTATATATCAGTCCTTAAGTGCTGGTGGATGGGCGGGAATGTAGAACAAGCCTGATACTCAGAGTCCCTAAATCTTGGGCACGGCACGGGCGGCACCTCTGACTTTAGTCGTATAAACGCCGCAACAAAATTCGAAACCAGTGCCCAAAATCACCATGCAAAAGAAAGGAGGGTGCCTGACAAGGTATTCTCTAACGTCGATACAAATTGCAGATAGGCTAATCAATCACTTCACCACAGGGTTTACTTTAACGTGCAGTTCTACACAAAATGTGCAGTTCTAAACCCATTTGTGCAGTTCTTAAAACACAAATGTGCAGTCACCAAACTAAAACAAAAATAGCCTTAATTAAAACAGTCTTCTTATTTACTCGTTACCCTTGTGGATGCTCCAGAAAATTCCAGAAATGCTGTCATTAATTGAGCATCAAAAATATAAACGTTTTCTGGGGGAGGACTCCAGACCCCCGTATTTTCCTCACAAATCACTTACGTGCTGAGGTAATGGAAAGAAGGTAAAATTGGGGCGAGCGATGCTCCCCAAAAGAGATTAGAGTGGGAGAACCTAGTATTCCTTGCTGCCTCAAATGCAAATTTAAGGTTTTTATATATTGAATATCCACGATTCCCAGTTACATGTTTTGAAACAGTTTTTGTGAGTGGTTGGGTAAAACAAATATTTTAAGAGCTTCTAGATTCAAATTGTTTTGGGGAACACCCCCTAGCTCCCGCACCCAAAATCGAGTTTGTTTGGCCTTTCTCCAATTCTCCCACCCAACCACACCATGTCATCTATATGCAGGTAAAAAATCCTTCGACCACTCTCCCCCCCCCAGTCAAACGCTCGTTGCCTTCGTAACATTCCTGTATGTGCAGTTCTAAATTTTCTTAAAATAAACCCTGCTTTACCACATAGGGAATTGAGCCATTACGGTGAAGCAAATTTTTCAACTTGCCAGCTGTGGACACACTGTGGGACACACTCGTGTAGCATTAATTGTTTATCATGACGTCATCATGATCATCTATAGCTTGATAAATGATTTTAACTTGTTGCAGCGATAAATTAATTTGGTAGAAATTGGAAGTCCGTGGTTGTGCATGGTAGATAATGATTACATTTGTTTGGTATTTCGATAACTCGCGCTTTTTTTTCTCATCATAATCATTCCTGAGTGTGCGCGTGTTAGCAGTTGGGGAGGGAGGGGGGGGGGGGCAGTTAGGTTGTCTTGGGTGTTGCAACTTATGCCGTCGGTGAACATCAGTTTCAATTAACGTTTGTTGAAATGAGATTTTGTTGCAACTAGTTATTGCTATTTCGTAGCTCGTATTACGTACCTTTACATAAAAAGTGCACGAGTGGGTTTTTCAAAGCTAATCAAAATACGCGGGACATACGAGTCTTAAGAACGAGTACTATTTCTTGAAAGTCTTGAGGAAATCGCGAGGTTTCTTACTCTAGTTGCACGACTTCTTAATGACTTTAATAACCCGTAATTTTTCAAGACTCACTATAGAAGCCAGTTTCTAAATAAAGTTAGTTTTGGTTTGGTTTTAATTTGCTTTGGAGCAAAACCTGCCTGAGATATCCGTTACTGGTGTGATATCGGCCTATGTCAATTAAAACTCAAATATGTTGGACATTATAATAGGCAATTCCAGCTTTTAGTTTATGCGTGCAGGGGGGAGGGGGGTGTTGGAAGTAAGATATCATATTGCTGATTATGCTGAAAATATAAAAATGGTGGCCGTGCAAAGACGGAGTGATAGCTTATACTTGTAAATATTGAAATATTGAAATTTTTCAGCATAATCAGCAATATGATACATACATACATACATACATACATACATACATACATACATACATACATACATACATACATACATACATACATACATACATACATACATACATACATACATACATACATACCTACATACATACATACATACATACATACATACATACATACATACATACATACATACATACATACATACATACATACATACATACATACATACATACATACACACACACACACACACATACATACATACATACATACATACATACATACATACATACATACATACATACATACATACATACATACATACATACATACATACATACATACATACATACATACATACAAAACTGATTTATTTAAGCACGCTGGCCTCAACAACTCGGAGCTGATTTCCATGAGGGGCGTGATTTGGAGAGAATATACTGTACAGATAAACATTAAAAACACAAAAACAAAGAAAACTAAAGAAAGAAGAATTACATATACAGTAGGCAACAGGACGAGCCAATTTTAAGTGTTTGCCTGATTAATAGTTCTTTGAAAAGAACTTAAAGATTCCGCTACTTATATACGGTAAATTGTTCCATACTACCCCTCCGTTATATTTGAAGCATCTTTTACCAGAATCGGTATTCGGTACGTTTAGGAAGCTAAGAGACAAATCAGTTTCTCTATTTCTAAGATCATAGGTATTATATATCACATTCATTATTCAATCGAAAGGATGTTCTTAGATTTGGTGCGGTGTGGTTATTCAGAATTTTATACGTAAAAACAGATTAGATAATTTCGCCTTAGTTCTAGGTGCTTCCATCCCAGACTTTCAAGTAAATCAACCGACCGAACATCATAAGTCGCACTAGAAATTACTCTTGCAGCCCGATTTTGAAATTTCTGCAACCAACTTCCCATCACCCCCTGCGCGCATAAATTAAAAGCTGAAATTGCCTATTGAAGGAAGAGCTTGTTCGTCGCCCTCGCCGTCCTCGCCGCCCGCAAGCAATAGGGAACTTTAGATTCGCTACGCGGCTACGAAATCTGGTAGGACTACAAGATTTTTTCCGTTAAATATCTGCTACTACAGACTTTTTATCATCCTTTCTTTTGCATACCACATCTTTATAGCAACAGTAAAACAGTTGCGCCAAACCACGCACTATTATAAGTTTTTAGTAGCTGATATTTAATGGAAAATATCTCGTAGTCGTACTAGATTTCGTAGCCGTAGCGAATCTAAAGTTCCCTAATAACTGCTACGCAGCCGGCTACGTACGCGGTAGAATAAGAATGCGGGTAGTAGTAATTATATTCATCAGTTTTTGCGCTGGTTCTATACAAAGCTTCCTACAATCAAACGATAGTACCTGTTACAACGGCAAGTATTTGTCTATTGTTTGAGATAATGAATGGACGATGATGTTATAAATATTACACCGGGGTAAACTTTTTCAGTATCAATAAAAATCGTTTAGTGATGATTATTTGGCTGAGATACTTGCGTATCTTGCTTAAGCGACCGTTGTTTCTCATACTATGTAGTGTCGTATTGATTAGTATTGCAAGTGCAGTTATCAAGTTTTACCGGTGTGTCTGGTGGTTCTCAACGACGACGTCTACAAATGGCGAAATGATTGCTATTAGATCAATGTAAGTATTACCTAAACTTGTAAATCAATTTGGTGCATATACTTTGGTATACGCTAAGACTACGTTCACGCGACACTGGAGCGAAATGGAACGAAATCATGATTTACGAGTGTTCACACTACGCGCCGTTATACATTGTGTTTACAAATTAAATTAGCACTCATGTAAACCCAAAATATTTCAAATAGAGCAAATAATTTAAACGAAAAGCATTCGAATTTACTGTTTTCAGACCCGAGATGCTGATGCTTGGTTTGCAAGCGGTACAGAAAAGAAACGTTGTTTGTGTTCACACGAAGCCGCCAAAAGTTACGGCAAAATCGCAAAACTTTGTAACTTTTTCAAACAACTGCGCTCCGGCGTGGTTAATAAATGCGACGGCTAATTGCGACTTTTCCGCGCCGTTTTCAAACCGCTCTGGCGTAGTGTGAACGTATACTTAAGCCCCGTTTACACTATACGCTCAATTTTTGGTACGGCACGGATAAAATTGGTATACCCGTACCACTCTTTTGGTTCTTGGATTAGCTAAGCCCCGTTTACACTACGCTCAATTTTTGGTACGGCACGGATAAAATTGGTACCCATACCACTTTTTTGATTCTTGGACTACTTATTTAGGTAGTCGAAGAACCAAAAAGTGGTACGGTACCAAAAATTGAGCGTAGATTGCGTAGTGTAAACGGGGCTTTACATGTACAGTACCCTGACATTATTCGTGCATATATATGGACAGCAAAAGTTTAGGATATTATTCATTTTATCCGCAGTCAAACAAACCAGCTACTCCAGTCAAATGAACGGTCAGGAAGGGTCAAATGAACCAGCTACTCCGCAATGAAGGACAAATTGAGTTGTGGAATTACGAATTTTGACTTTTCGCATTCGAAGTACCCTTGAAAAGGTAGCTATTATTATTTTTTTTTAAATAATTGTCTTTATGTTTAAAACAGCAAAAACAAATTCGAAACGAAAGAAAAGTGCAGCAAGCCTCAGGTAAACGTCGTATTTCTCAAGACTCATAAAACTGGAAGTAGCACGATTACGAACATTCTAAACAGATTTGCTGAGACACACAAACTTACTGTGGCTCTTCCCATGGATGGCTTTCACCATTTCTTATGGCCTCTTCCATTCCAAAAAGACTTTGTGCAAAACAAAGTACCTCAACCGAATATTCTTTTGAATCATGCACGGTTTAATTCTAGACCACTCATGGAACTGATGCCAGAAACAACGAAATATGTTACAATCTTGAGACATCCAGCAACGCAGTTTACTTCGCTATTCAAGTTTATGGACTTTGGTGGACTGATTGGTGCAAAGGGAAATCATAAATCTATTTCCTTGGACTATTTCCTGGATAACGCTTTTCGAATACTTAAAACCCTACACCAGCATAACTCACAGATACTTATTGACAACCCAAGTCTATATCTTTTGCGTAATCCTCAACTCTTTGATCTTGGATTTGACCAGTCATTTTCTGAGAACGAAAGTCATATTCGTGAAACAATTGCTAGAATTTCTAATACATTTCATTTGGCTCTCATCATGGAATACTTCGATGAATCTCTTGTTCTCTTGAAAAGAAAGATGTGCTGGAGTCTCGAAGATGTTGTTTACTTCAAACTTAACAAACAAATAGGAATGAACGAACCGCATTGGAACCCAGGGATTCGGAGTAAAATCATGCAGTGGACTAAAGCCGATGTGCTGCTGTATGAATATTTCAATAAATCGCTGTGGAATGAAATAAAAAATGAAGGAGTAAGCTTTTGGGAAGAAGTTGCATTGCTACGAAAAAAGAATAGAGAACTAAGTAAAACGTGCCTGCGAGTGGGTGTATTTATTGACAGGCCGTACAAAGGTTCAACTGCCATAATATATGGCTATTCCCTCAAAACAAACATTTCCATTGCATTTAAATTATCGTGCAAACGAATGGTACGCTCCGAAATTAAATATATTCAATATTTTAGGACTATTTATCACAGATTCTAACGAATGTATCAACTGTTCAGTGTGCCATCTATTTCGAATTCTGTCCCGTTGTATAGTATGCCTGGTCAATGCCTGCACCTTTCCATATAACCTTACCTTAAATCTGATACTCAACCATTTGCACGAAGCTGACCTGGTATGCCATTTCGGATTTGCAATAAATTATATGTATCAACTGTTCAGTGTGCCATCTATTTCTGTCCCGTTGTATAGTATGCCTGGTCAATGCCTGCACCTTTCCATCTAACCTTACCTTAAATAAGGGGCTTCGGTGGCCAAGTGGTTAGCGCACTTGCCTTTCACCTCTGAGGCTGCAGGTTCGAGTCTCACTAAGCACCTTCTCAGTGCGACTCGAACCCAGTCCCCATGTGAAAAGAGTAAAAGTCAACGCTCTGCTGAAAACCGTGGGTTTTCCCCGGGTACTCCGGTTTCCTCCCACAGGGAAAGTTGACAGGGTGGGTTAGGTAAAAAGGGCCCACAGTAATTGGCATATGCTGTTGTGGTGACCCTGCCCTAGTTGGCAAAGCTAAATAAATAAATAAATAAATAAATAAAAAATAAATCTGATACTCAACCATTTGCACGAAGCTGACCTGGATATGCCAGTTCGGGTCTGCAATAAATTATATGTACCAGGTTGACACAGACTTTGTATTAAAAGTGAAAATTGTGATTTTATCTTCATGTTTCCTGTGACTTATACATAGGGTCTATTATAAGGGTCTCAGATCAGGGAATTTGGGAGGCCTTCGAAAATGTATGCAATGTCTAAGGGAGAGGTTGGATAGCCACGTTATTTGGCTTAGAATCTTCTTTGCAAATGCGGCAAAGACGAAGGAATTAAGAGAAGGGGATTTGGCCTTTTAGTGTGGTTGGGGTGGGAAGAAGAAAAGTGGGCTTGTAGAACACAGAAGTAACTATATAGTTTCCGGATCTGAATGATACACTGATCTCACTAGTCTCCCATATGAACTTGAGTGCTGGATTATTAACGAAGTTAATAAAACGTTCCAATTCAAAACGAGAACATGATGCTATCCAACTGCCAAAACAGTCCTCTACTCATGTACCTACCAAGTCACTAACGTACCAGACCGTTTTTAACCGGTCTTTTATGTGTATCTTAATAAGCCTTCTTCACCTTGTTTTTTTCAATTTTCAATTTTATAACCGAAACGAGGCCAACTGACCAAGAAGACTTATCAAGATGCATATGAAATAACATTTAAGCCGCCAGTCTGTAATATGAAAGTGGTCAACCGACCGCGGCTCCCTTGAAGTCCTAACGTTTTGGCATGCACTGCGAACTGATAATTTTTGGCACAAAATCACACGGAATTGTAGGATAATATTTAACTTCATTCAGCTAATCGGAATTAACGAATGATTTTTTCATGTATGTTTTATAATTATACTAATATTCATAATATCAATTTGATGGATAACCGAATATGAACTGCATTGCATGCCACATCCATTATCCAATAGAAAAGTAATAATTTCACAATAATTAATTTCAATCTTAATTTTGTGTCTGAAATACATCTTATTTTCCTATTAATGACGGGACGTTTGCAGGGGCGTGAAAATATACTTAGATTTTACCTTATGATGAAAATAACACGAATCAGTTGACCCCGAGTGATCGGGAAGGATAAAATTATTAATAAAATGTTTTGTATGAAAAAAAAACCATTCCGGTTGAGGAGTATGATCGTCGTACTTCCTGTCTTGGCGGTATTTGTTTGAGATGCATGCATGCAGCTAATAAATTAAACAGGTCCTTAATCTGAAATACGGTTAATGCGGTTCGATTGAGCTTCATTCACATTTCACACTGAACCGGATTAGTGAAAAACTAAAATCATGCACACATATATATTAATAATATTTATTTATATTTTATATTCTCCTTAAATACAACAACATTATCCTCTCAGAATTTGTACATTAATTTTCCTTTTCTTACTAGGCTTTAATTATATATATATATATATATATATATATATATATATATATATATATATATATATATATATATATATATATATATATATATATATATATATATACGTGCAACACAAGTCAGGCATGGTTATACCATTTGTTATATATAAATTACAATATGCGCTGTGTTTTGGAAAGAAATATCTTAATTTGTACAATAATTACCTGTAAAAAAGCATCTTTCCTTAAATTGAATCTCTTCTTAATTGCAGATCCAATTTAGGGCGCATACGTTTTAATTTTATAACAGTAATTGTCATGCTATGAATATGAGCTGGTTGACCGCCATTTGTCAGCGACCACTATCTCACACATTAGTCTGGCAAATCATCGATACAAGTTTCTTGGCATAGCGTGCGGTGTTGCTAAGTTCAATACTTATTGCATATTTAGGATGTGTTGCCAGCTTCCTCAATTGACGAGGGACATAACCGTAATCACTCACAGTCGTCGCTATGATTCGCACATTTCTTTCTTTCATGTTGTCTGCTTCTCGGTATGCTCTCGTGATATCGTGTGCTCGGCCGTCGCTGAAGATAACCAACACGTTTTCAACCGCAGAACGATCGCCACCATGACCATTGAATACCTATAAATTATCAGATTGACGAAATCACAACATTAGTCGGGTAATAGAAAATATTAGGTGTATTGACAGGAACAGTGTCCCAGAAGAATCCTGGGAATTTTAAATAAAACTCACCAACCACTGTATACTACCCATGTACCAACAATCTATTCACTTCGTTTAGAGAATAACAAAGTGTAAGTAATTGTTTGAATTTTGTTGAAAATTGTGAGTTCGAAAACAACAAGTTGAAAGATCATTGAAAAGTAATACATTTTCACCAGTGAAATTTACATCAATTAGCCTTTCTCGCGATGACGATATCCGCATTTTTGGGTGGCATCTAATTCTCGTTAACCAATGCGGACAATTAAAACAATGTGAAAAGCAATTTTTAAAAAAAATAACCTAACCATTTACAAAGCAAATTTACCATCATTCGTCCAAAAAATTATAAAAAGTCGCTGTTATGTGGACTTATCTCTCAGACGTCGGCTGAAAAGCCAGCCAAAAATGGCGGCGTGAGAAAGGCTAATTAAACATGATCAGTAACATATAAGAATTAACCGCGAACCTCGTCATTTACTTGGCTTAGAGCATCTCCCAACATGGTTCTTCTTCCAGAATGATACTCCATATTTTCTATTGATTTAATTTCTTCATTCAAGGAATGCTTTTGGAGCACCATTATTTTTTCAGTTTTCTCAACTGTACTGAACTGCATCATTCCAATATTCAAGTCTGATGATGGGGATTCCAGTAAAAAGAAGGCATCTTTGAGGAACTTTCGTTTCTTGTCGAAATCGGATGGGTTTATGCTTCTGGATCCATCAAGAACAAAGTGAATATCATATTTTTTGTTCCCGCAAAGTGATTCAGCTGGAGAAAAAGTGATATTCGTGTAAGAATACACATTCATAAGCCGTTTCAATACAATTATCATCACTTCCATGATTATCATCTTTTTCATTATTGTTTATCGTCATTATCACCACATGCATGTTCATAATCAATACCGTTATCATAGTAACCATTATTACCGCGCCAATTCTCTATTAAGCCTCCTAAGGGTGATTTATTTCAGGAACATTCAGGGTGCATATCGTGCTAGCTAATAATGGAGAGGGCTTATTCAGTAATGTAGCGCAAACGGAACCCTGCCAAAAGGTACAATGTCGTTCATTGTTGTCAATGTTGTGTGGAGGGGTGCATGGACTTAATAGAAAGACATGGTAACCAAATATCTTCCCAGAGATGGTAACCAAATATCTTCCCTTGAAAGGGGCTTTTATCAGGGAGGAAATGCATATTTGAGATGGGCGGATGCTAAATGCAACTCGAAATACAGGATTTATGGTATCATCATGCTCACCATTTCAATTATCATTATTATCTATCATGATTATTATTATCAACATTATAGTTACAGAATTATAATTTTATTCATGTTAACTTACTTGCAGGTAGTTTAACTGGAAGACAAATCTTTTCAAGGACGTCCATTTTCTTGTTGGCGAGTTCACTGTACTTGGATGCGATTGCGTCTTGCGTGAATGATGCAATTTTTCGTAAAGATCTTGCCAAATACCTAGGATAGGGACCCAGTCCAATAGCAATTACTCGTATCATTTTCCGTTTTAGCATTCCCACCTCTGCAAACGTTTGTTCCCTGTCGGACGGTCTTCCACGCGTGATCAGAACAACAATATCCTGTGCACTAACACGCTCGTAGAGCGAGTTCAATTCATAGAACTAGAATATAAAGTAAAAATCATCAGTATCAGAGTAAATAGGAGATTTGACAATTATTCATCAAAATACGTATTGCCGACTAAGCTAACTTAGCTACGTAAAGCATTCTATTGTAAGCACATAATGTAAATAATGTTAACTTACCTTGTTGCTTGCGATAGCCAATGATTTTCCGGTTATTCTTTCCACTCCTCCAATCTGTCTTATATTATCAATCTGATACATCAGGTCAGCAGTACTAGTTCCTTCCCAAAGATCAACCTCCATCCTAGGCTCTCTTCTTCCACCATATTGCATAACACCAACTCTAAAATTGTCACCATTCATCTCCGAAACAACTTCCTTGATGAAGTGTTTGGTCTGTTTCCATTCTTTTTTTCTAGTCACCCAATATTGTCGGTAGTTAACCGTACCATCTATGATAAACAGAATATCTTTGGCGTCGCTATGACTGCATACAGATGGACCTGGTCTAGGTTCTTGGGTTGTAGTTGCTGTTACAACTGTCATTGTTGGTGTCGTCGATGATGGCAAGACCGTGGTTGGTAATTTAGTTGTTGGCATTTCGGTTGTAGTTAGCCGGGTGGTTGCTGAAAGTTCAGTGGTACGTTCTGTAGTTGTTGTTTCTAGGTCTGTTGTAGGTAACGCAATGGTAGATTTACTCTCCTCCGTTGTTGTTGTTCGAGATTGAGTAGTACTTGGTTCTTCTGTAGAAGAATATTTTGCTGTGCTAGCCGCTTTGGAAACGATAGTAGGCTTGTTGGTACTTGATGTAGCGGTAGTAAATTGGTTTTTTTGTGTGGTTACTAGATTTGTAGGTAGCGTTGTCGACGTTGTAATGTCCGTGGTGCTCGACTTGGTGCTTGGTTGTGTTGTATACTCCGTAGTTGTGATATATTCTGTGGTGGGGCGGATCGTGGTAGATGGAGTTGGTACTACAAAGAAGAAAAATGTACAAAATATGTAAATAATAATGCTTTTTCATCTTCAGTAATAAGAAAGAGCGAAATTGATCAATAACAAAAGTTGCCATTTTATTAAGTTTCACGATGCATATGAAGACTCGTTTACACTTGCAATTTGTGCTGCGATTTTCTTCTTCTGATGCATGTGAACGAGTGGATAAGTTATGAATGTTCAGATGAGGGAACATGTACTCAGAACATTCATAACTCATCTACTCGTTCACATCCACCAGAAGGAAAAAATCGCATTAGAAATCGCAGCAAAAATTGCACGTGTAAACGGGCCTTATAAGAACTGCTCGATTCACGAGAAATTAAATGAGAAATAGATATTCACGCTTCACGAATCTAACCATATCTTTCCTGCATAGTTTTTGGAAATTAAAATTGCATTAAATGTAATAATCAGGGCAATATGTTTACTAAGTGCATCACAACATATACTACTTACAGCGAACATCCCTGCAAACTTTTTTCCCTTCACAAGCATGAGGACAACATAAACCAATCCATTTGTCTGCACCCGAATATAATTTACAATCTGAATGATCTGTGCATATATCTTCAGGTTCCCAACGACATATTCCAAAAGGCGGAGGACATAAGACCGATGCACCTAAAATGTTGCAAAACAATTTAGTATGAGGGGCCTAAGCAACCAAACTAAAATTTGCGATTCACTTAATTAACATTAACTTTATTCTTAATTTAATAACAGAAAGAAATACGTGCATTCTATCATTTTTCAGCGGATCAACGGACGTGGATATCCTTGAAATTATCGGTTGCCTGCAGCGACAAGTGTTGACTTTTTATGCTCATGCATGTAAACCCACACTCCCCCACCCCGTGGAAATATGCTGGTAACAAGGGGAATAGCAGTGGGTTTGACAGGATTTGTATTTGTATTTCTATAATAACGTTTATCATTATAGCAGTCTTACACGGATAAACAACACACTAGTGCCGCAACAAAAATTAACCCCTCTCTTCCATATATCTTGAGATGTATTTGGAGAGTGACAAAACAAATTCCCCGCACCTTTCCCTGGGAGTGGGGGGAGGGGGGTAAAATTGACTGTACTTATCCGTTAGTTTATCAAAATCGTGGCTCATCTTATCCTTGATCCATCACATTTCAGAAAGAATTGCAGTCAACTACTGAGTAGTTGACTGCAATTCTTTGTCTAGGTTTTGGTTTAGGACATAATAATATATTATTAATATAATTATAGCCTTGTGTTCAGCTCGTGGGCAGCGTATATGCACACAATGAGCTTGAGATAAAACTTGATATACTCTGTGGAAAGGCTGTAGACGACGTTTATACCTATCGAATTTCAAATTCTAAATGGGATAGTCCATATACTTTCCCTAAACAGCGGATGGGGTTTTTGGGCCGCGTCTCACCCACAATTTGTGGTTTGTGGGTGAGACGCGGGGGCATCTTCAAGTTGTGGTTGTGGTTTGTGGGTGAGACGCGGGGGCATCTTCAATATTAAGTTACCTACTACACAATGTTAACAATGCGCTAGGCTGCATTGGTATCATATATATCATATATATCCAGAGAAATCGTGTCTGTTTTTTTAGTTGAATTAAATTCTGTAACAAGGAATTATATATAAACTCTAACTTGTCGTTCTCAATATAATTAACATGAATAAATAAGAAGCACAGTAATAGACGAGTTATAAAATTATGAGTTTTAGTCATTAATTACTAGACACTATCGTCCAAACATGTTAGGTGGTGAAGATATGGCAGTTGGAGGACGAATCGAAAGGCGACTAGCCAAACTCTTTATAGGGGATCAAGGGCACTTCCACTCACTGATATGCCCCCCCCCCAGGTTCCGCCGCCTACGATAAGATTAGCCAAGCATATTGCTACAGTCGGCTCTCATGAAGATACTGAATACCTGGTTAATAAGGATTGAAAAAAGGATTTGGGTGTAGGATGTGGGTGGTGTAACATCCCCCATTAATTTTTAAGTTCAAAACGTTGGTCAAAATCGGAAAATATTTAGTTAAAATAGTTCATTGGTCACTTTTTAAGCGAAATTAGAAAAGAATTGGGAAGTAAATTTTGGGAAATTAAATAAAACGTTACGGAAAAGTTGACCAAATGGGACAATAAGGTGAATAATAATAATAATAATAATAATAATAATAATATTCTAGGGTGAATAGTCAGTGGCGTAGCCAGCCCGACGATTCAGGTCCGGCTATGCAAATTTCAACTCATCATTATTCATTTCTTTAGAAATTGATTGTGTTGATAGTTTATAAACAATTATAGCAATATTTGCATAGCGGAACTGAATAGTCGGACTGGCTACGCCACCATGAATAATCGTACATTAAACAGAAAGAGAATGCCGGAATATGATGTCCGGAAAAATTTTTTATTGTCCGTACGCCCCGTGAAACCTCCGCCAACAATTTTGGGAAAAGAAATATTAATTAGTGGTTGAGATGAGCAGAGTTGGTCAAAACGTTTGCCAAATCTTGGTCAACGTAGCAGGACCCAAGAATCCCCGCGCGCCTAAAAGCTCGCCCAGAGCTCCGATGCCGCTATTCATTACTAAAGAGCCTTGGTACGAGGCTGGCAAATTCATTATCGATCACGGAGAATATTTACTAATAGAGAAGCTGGAATGATCAAACAATATTTGATCATTCCAGCTTCGCGGCTATTAGTAAGACAAACAATGAATATCCACTAACCTGTATCCGTCGATACCGGTGCGCCTCGAATTTCCACAACTGTTTCCAGTAACACTAAGAAGACCACCAGCAGTTTTGATGTAATGCCCTTTTTCTTGAGAGAAAAGAAAGAAATATCATATATTTGTTGTATAACTATGTAATATAAAAAAAGCCCGTAAATTTTTATTATCCAGGGTGACCCAGGGTCACCAAGGTGGCTATAATTAACGAAATCCGTTGCCTGAAGTGTTTGTATATAGTATTAATATAGTTCCGGGAAATGCCGACAGTGTTTTCTTCAATAGCATCGCAGTTACAGATATACGATAAGATGCAGTAGCATGCACACACACATGGCCGACAGCTAATTACAATATTAAATTAAAACTTTATTCCACCTGATCATTATTTCTCTAATATACTATTCAGCGATTTGCCTGGCAAAAAGGCATTGTGATTATTCATGCATCAATTTGATTGTTTAGTCTAAAACTGTAAGTATTACTAAATATTTGACGCCATGAAAAATGAAAGCATTAATCTTTTAGAATATTACTAGAACTGAAAACAGACCGTATTGATTCCAATGAATAAATTAATGTATTCAGTGCGCTTCACGCACGAACGTAATGAATGAGTAAATCTACTGTTCAAAAAGAGCAAGGAAGTGTTCAAATTGGCAATGAACTGTTATCTTTAATTTATATCATAAAAAGTAAAACTTTAGCATCTCTCATACTTTACTCTGACTCATAAAGATTTTAGTCCCTTTTGTCGTAAAAAAAAAGAAAAGAAGACATACCTTATTCATTTTCATTGTAATGATTTTATATATATTGCCTTATAATCCTTGCACTGTTGTTAAGTCTTCCTTTCTTCTTTTGCTTCTCCTTGAAGATATTCAGTCGTTTGAGTGTAATGTGACTAAGATCGTGCCTTCATATATACTGCAGGCTTCACAGCAGGGTATAGTTTGCGTCATCAATAAAATCCTGACCTCATTTGACCCAAAACTGAGCCAGGCCCAGCAATTAACACATCCCCGGATATGCCGTTCCTTTGTTGATTATAAGCTCAGTTTGCGGTAGTGTTTTAATTCTAAATATAAGCTGTGTATTCCAATTTCTCCTCGCTTACTCCAAGTGATCACTTATTCTAATATTCTTTGGCTTCTTTGAAAGCCACCATCAAATTAAGGAAATAACCACAAAACCTCAGAGGACATGCAACTATGAAGGCTTTGGCTTGTACTACCGTCTTGGTCAGATTACATCGTTTAATCTAATTATTATTGGTATTCATAACAGGTGTGCCAGTTCACTGTAGACGCCATAGCAGGAAACTGACAGCCATCGCCCTTGCTAGTCATAATGCAGGATCGCGAAAATTTCGACGTACGAAAAATACACGGTATCCCAACAAAACAAGTAACAAGCTAATTAGTTATAAATGATAACTTTGCATTGCATTTGACTTTGTGGTGATCAATTCAATGGCAAATCATATACATATATGTGTTCATGTTGAGTTTGGGTAATAATTAATAATTAAGGAAAATAATCTGGGGAAATAAGGGCATGGTTTCATAATACAATGGTGAATCGAAACTCTATAATTGCAGTATCGCTGCATGCCGAACGTAAATAAATGAAATGAACGTTGCCTTTCTTATCTTACCGGTCTCTTTTGGTTATTTAACCCCATGACGCTTATTGAAATGTTTTTATTTTGCTCATACATAGTTCTGCCTCTGATTGTTTTTGCTTTAGTCTTTTTCTTCTTGCACTACTATATAATATATCAAGCATTGTAAAATATATAGCTATATGTCCACTACTATAATAAGGCCAGTGACAGCACGTATTACGAGCAGTATGTGTATGTTAATCACTTTCCTTTATTGTCCTTTACACGAAAGACAAAATATGTTACAAAAATACTATACAGTATACAAAACAGTTGTACAACAAGCATGGAGTGTAACTGGTCCATAGGATTCAGTCATTAGAATCAAATATACTTTGCATCATGTTTCTGTCCAATTTCTGACAGATTGAACGTGCTAGTATTGCACGATTTGTTTGCACGCACAGATCAAACTCTACACACAGCTGAGTATTCGTGAGTGCAAATGAAAAATGAAGGTAAAAATAAAGGTGATGCAAGTCAATTGGGAGTGTTATCTCAATTATCTGCTAAGTGTTTCCGCATTACGATTAAAATTCTTGCACAGTTGTTGTAAAATCTAATGGGATTGAATGAAACATATTAGCGTGTTGTATTATTATAACATCCCGACGTTTCAAGAGAAAGCCCTTCTTGAGAGAGTGAGGCTATTACGCCTACGTCTACGGCACGCTGCGAGGTTAGGGAGAACGGCAAACGGCAGGTTCGAACTTTCTTGGCAAAATTTCGTTGAACGTTTTCGTTTCATAAGACATTGATTAGATTTTACAAGCCGCACAAATAATTTACCAACTCATGAGCACAAAGACCGTTTTCATAAAACGACGGCCGATGCCTTTTTTGTTCATTAAATTGCCGTGATCCCATTTCACTGCTAAAGCGTGGTTTCCATATGCCGTCATAAAGACTCATAACGGTCGTAAAGATTGAGTCACGATCTCTCTCATCAGCCGAAATACAACATTTGAGAACTAGTGAAAATACGCGGAGTGATTATAACTAGAGAATACTTGTATGAACGTGGTTTACAGGTATAAACTATTTTATTATAAACTAGCCTTTGAGATACCCTGGCCCAGAGGTTTTTAGGTTTGGCGAACGCGAACTGCGAGAAAACGCGCGAAGAGAAAGGACTGAGAAACCACGCGAAGAAAGAGGAAAAACTCAATAAAGGAGGTGAAAACAACCCTCTGGCTTCCAGGGTACCTTTGAGAAAGATCGCGACTCTATTTTTACGACCATAATCCATAACCAGACTCAGTAAGTGTCCTGCACCGGGCACATGCGGAGACGCCGCACGGTATATAATTAATATATACACCGGCAGCTCACGGCTCACCGTGGAAATTAGGAAATATACGCGTTATTTAGCGCCGCGAAATACTGATACATATATAATGAAATACATGCACATTTGTGATTTTCACCAATTTATCTTAAAATTGTCCTTATACCGATTATTACCGGACTCTATATGATAAGTTGTTTATTTTATTTCTCAATTAAGATCTTAAATTAATTAAATCATGCTATGTTGAGGTTGTAGCCAAATTGCAATCATTCCTATAGACGCACCCAAAGGAACAATTTAGTAAGGTCACAGGCTTGTTTAAAATTCCTTATCTAACTTCCGCCCTAAGGAACGATTTATTATAGAAAAAAATTTACCATTATTATTTGTATAATATACAATAAATGAAAAACAAGAAGTGGATATGGTCGGACTAAATGATCCAGACTTTGATTTACAACATAACTGGTTTCTGTAAAAGGGCATACGTTAATGTGTTTAGGAAACAAAGAAGGCATCTTCGATGTTAAAATAATATGTACTCGAAGTACCGAGTCTTAGCGATGTGAAAAATATAAACATGCAGAAGTTAGAACTTCGATATTTCGGGCGAAGGGCCTTCGTCGGGAAGTTAGTGATTGTTACTAGTAGTATACTTACTAGTTGTGGCAACTAACTAATTCCCGACGAAGCGCCTTCGCTCGGAACGTCGAAATTCTGCTTATATTTTTCAGGTTTAGTTGCATATCCCTAAAAACCGAAGCTATTATACAAAATTCTCTGCAATGCATTTTTGGCGTCTACTGGGATAGTAGTCGCTATATGCTGTCGACAAGAAGTTTAGATACATGTATTCAGTGGACAGTTCACTCTCCTGCGAATATTTGGTTAGGTTAAAGCCCGCGCATTTAGGGAGTGGTCATTATTTATGGGGAGGGGGGAGGGTTGGGAAATGGGGAAAATAAGGATTGAAAACTTTTTTGACCCCCCCCCTCCAGACTGAAGGCAAACTTTTTGTGCCTCCCCCTCATAAAAGTAGAAACTTTTCTGACCCCCCCCCCAGTGTGGATTGAAAAATTAACAGCAATGAAACAGGTGTGCGTTGCAGGTAAAGTTAGATATTAGGACAATCTGTTTAATCTAGCTCATGATGTTTTACCCTGGTGAATATGATTCAACCATATATGATTAAAAAATATATATTATGTGTTACTACTGCAATGCAACATTTGTCCTACCATAACCCTAACCCATGGCCCGTCTTCATACAGCGAAATGATTTGAACACAGGGCTTTTTTTAAGAACTTGTCTGGGGGGTGGGCATCTACAAAAAGGGACCATACTATATTGAGTGTGGAGAGATGACAGATGGTTGTTGGTGACAAAAAGTTTGGTGTGGTATCGTATGTACTAGTAGGGGGGTCTGGGGGTATTCTCCCCCAGAAAATTTTTTGTATTTTTCCACCCCTAGAACTGAAATGTGAGCATTTTCTGAAACAGATTTTTGGATATACAGCGTTACATTGTGTGTTGATAGACCGAATCTGATCAGTTAAATGTACTTGCATGGTATGTTTATGTAAATACCACAACTGGGTCACTCAGGGGGTAGAAAGCTTGTTAAACTTAGTGGGCCCAAATCCCGCGATCGCGAGGCGCTACCATGGTTGGCGCTGAGCAGTAATTTTGAAAATTTTGAGTCTCTAGATCGTTGGAAATAGCATTTTCAGAGTCTTCTTTTTTGCTATTTGTGATTATAGAAATCAGAACTCTAGACATGGTATTTAAGTTCAAAAACTTTTATGACCCCCCCTTTCTCTGTGTTAAAACTTTTTTGACCCCCCTATTTATAAGGGTAAAACTTCGTTTGCCCCCCCCCCCTCCCATTTCCCAACCCC